ATCATCTCCAAAGATTTTCCAGCCCTCACGCAAACAGAGTGTTTGCAATTCAGGATCAGGTCATTTGTCTTCATGCCAACAGGAATCCTTTCAATAAAATAGGTGCATATAAGGGATATAAGGGATAGGGAAAAAACTTTGCAGTGCTTCCCTTTCTAGGTATCCAGATCCCTTTTCCCTCACCCAGAGAGGTCTATAAATGCAAGGGGAACTAATGTTTCCTTTCACTAGGAAAGTACAGGGTAGGAACCCATAGAGTTTTGCTTATAGTGGGAGAAGTGAAGGATCAGAATGAGCAGGTTGGCTTTAACAGAAGTGGAGCAGAATATAAATACTGTAAATAAATAAACAAACCTGTCTTTTGTAAACATATACTAGGGAAAAAGAATGTCTGACTCACCTGCTCAGTCCTTATACTTAAATCCCATTTGATATTACACATTGCTGTGAGTTTTCTAAGCTGTATGTCCATGTTCCAGAAGCATTCTCTCCTGATGTTTCACCCACATCTATGGCAGGCATCCATAGAGGTTGTGAGGTTTGTTGGAAACTAAGCAAGTTATCTGTGGAAGGTCCAGGGTGGAAGAAAGAACTCTTGTCTGTTGGAGGCAAGTGTGAATGTTTCAATTCATCACCTTGATTAGCATTGAAAAGCCTTGCAGCTTTAAAGCCTGGTTGATTCCTGCCTGGGAATCCTTTGTTGGGAGGTGTTAGCTGGCCATAGATGTGGGCCAAAAGTCAGGAGAAAATGCTTCTGTAACATGGCCATACAGCCTGGAAAACTAACAGCAATCCAGTAATTCCCCTTCGACAAAACAAAAAGAATGGTTCTTATTTGGAAATGATCAATATATTGGAAATTTAGCATGTCAACACTATCCTGTGTAAATAAGGCTACACATAACTTCCATGTAAGTACAGGGAAGACTGGATATCTACACACCTGCTTAGATTTATTTATTTACCATATTTATATACCGCCCCTCTCAGCCCTAAGGTGACTCCAGGAGGTTAGTAGTTCCTTACAATGAATGCCTTTGACCCCAATTTGGTGCGCCTTTCCAGTGTTGTCAAGAGACTAAAAACCTTCAGCCCATGATATTGCTGGTCGTTGACCAAAATATATATGCAATATATAACATAAGCCAAGTGATGTTCATCTTCTTAAATCTTCCTTGTGATTTTCTTCAAATATTTTAAAGTGAGTCAAGTGGAGGAATGACTCTGACTTCCATGCTCACAAATGACACTTGTTAAAATCATAATAGTAGCAACACTAAAAAACAGGAGAATTCCAGACAAGAAACAATCAGGGCCAGCTAATCACCTCCCAACAAAGGAGTCCCCCCAGGCAGTAAGAAACCAGACCTTGAAACTGCTAAGGCTTCAAATGCTAATCAAGGTGCTCAATTGAAACATTCACACTTGCCTCAGACAAGAGTTCTTTTTCCCACCCTGGACTTTACACAGATATATAAACACAATTTTCCTAGTTTTCAACAGACCCCACAACCTCTGAGAATGCCTGCCATAGATGCAGGTGAAAAGTCAGGAGAGAATGCTTCTGGAACATGGCCAGACAGCCCGGAAATCTCACAACAACCCAGTGATTCCGGTCATGAAAGCCTTCGACAATACCTGTTAAAGTTATTATTTTGAGTCGTGTGAAGAAGGAGTATAGGGTGCTATTGTGGAAACCCGCACTAAACTAACCCTTTTGTGTATTCAGTGATCATGAGTCTGTCCTTTTTCAAGCTGTGGCTGTCACTCCTTGCGAGTGTGTTTCCTTCCCTCTGCCGATTTTGAATGCTGCCATGCAAAGGAGCGGCTCTTTAAATCAGAATTGAACCAGAAAGCGATGGAGAGAGAGGGAGACACAAGAGGCTGCTCCTCTGCTCGGGCTGCCACCTCCTCGGGTCGCCCTTTTCTGCTCCTCGGAGACCCAGGGACTCGAGACAGGTCAAACTCCCAGCTTTTGGGGGTCACTGGGAGCGCCCTTCAGCCAAACTTTCTGGCACTTTGCAAAACTTTTTTTTAAATGCGAGTTATTCGCACACCATCGCCCGCGTGGAGTTGTTGCCTTCCCTGGGAAGTTTCTCAAACTCCTTCTTGGGCGTCTTTCCTTTTTGGAGAGACAGGATGGATCTACACTGGGAAATAATGCAGTTTGAACTGTGTCGTATAGTCAGTGTCGACCCATATGGTGCTATTCAAATTGCATGACATACACTGACCCGGTTCAAATTGCATGACATACACCCACGGTTCAAACTACATCGGGTTGTTGTGAGTTTTTCGGGCTGTATGGCCATGTTCCAGAAGCATTCTCTCCTGACGTTTCACCTGCATCTATTGCAGGCATCCTCAGAACTTGTGAGGTCTGATGGAAACTAGGAAAATTGGGTTTATATATCTGTGGAATGTCCAGGGTGGGAGAAAGAACTCTTGTCTGTTGGAGCTAGGTGGGAATGTTTCAATTGGCCACCTTGATTAGCATAGAATGGCCTTGCAGCTTCAAAGACTGGCCTCTTTCTACCTGGGGAATCCTTTGTTAGGAGGTGTTAGCTGGCCTTACTTGCCTAGTTTCCAACAGACCTCACAACCTCTGAGGATGCTTGCCATAAATGCAGGCGAAACGTCAGGAGAGAATGCTTCTGCAACGTGGCCGGACAGCCTGGAAAACTCATAACAACCCTGTGATTCCGGCCATGAAAGCCTTCGACAATACATCAAACTGCATTCTTTGGCAGTGTAGATCCAGCCGCAGATTCCAACGCGCTTGTTCTCCGGCAGGGAGTTAATAATAATAATAGGCAAAGTTGAACCTAAGTCTAAATCACAGAACAGGTCTAACGTGAATATGCTAGTCTTGAAAAATTAAAACGACCTCCTATGTTGGTAAAGGGACCCCTCTTCTTCCCACCCGGAGTTCATACATGTCTTAATTGATGTACAAAGGGGCACGGCACCTTTGACCAACCAGAGGGCGCGGGGCGCTTCTGCCAGGAGAAATACGGTAGCCGTGCGCCTGCCTTTGGCCCCTCTTTCCCTGCGCCGTCCCTCGCCCACTCGGTACTATACGGTAGTTGGACGGCGGACAAGAGCCAGACGCATGTGCAGCCCGGGCAGGGTGTGTGTGTGAGTCTCTCTCTGTGTGTCAGTGTCCTTCCCTCCGGCTTCCCCACGCGGGGCACCGGTTGTGTACACAAAGGCGCGCATGGAGGGAGAGGAGGCACCGCACACTCACGCACACATATGTATGCAAATATACCAGGCCTGGGCAAACTTGGGTTTTCCAGATGTTTTGGACACCAACTCCCACAATTCCTTAACAGCCTCAAGTCCCTTTCTTACTTATATTCACCATAATGAAGAGTTATATTTAATCGGAGTGTGTGTATTTCAGGGCCCTTCCACACAGCTGAGTAAAATCCTACATTTTCTGATTTGAAGTGGGATATATGGCAGTGTGGGCTCAGATAAGCCAGTTCAAAGCACATATTGTGAGATTTTCTGCCTTGATATTCTGGGATATAGGGCTGTATGGGACCTCACTGTATGGCTGAGAGAGTACGGGCCTTCCATACAGCCCTATATCTCAGGATATCAAGGCAGAAAATCCCACAATTTCTGCTTTGAACTGGGCTATCTAAGTCCACACTGCCTTATATTCCAGTTCAAAGTAGATAATGTGGGATTTTATTCAGCTGTGTGGAAGGGGACTGAGGCTGCTTAACTTCTGTGCCTTTCAGGGGGTTAGACTATGAGCCTGAGCAAGCAGGACCTGGAAACTCCTCTCAAATACTAGAAAACGGCTTGAGCGGCTGAGAGGGGAAAAGGAAAGGGCCTGAGGCTGTTAGGAATGGTGGGAGTTGAAGTCCAAAACACCTGGAGGGCCCAAGTTTACCCAGGCCCGGTATATACACATGGCGGGCAATTCAGTCCTCCAAAACAGGCATGATTTTCCTTACACGTGTGATGTGTTATGCCGTGAAGACATCATAATGGCTTGCCAGGGTGGGCTTCTTGCTTGCTCAGACACATTCCCACTGACCCATTTAGCACAGTTTCACACCATTCTGGAAGAAAGTGGTTTCATGGGACATCTTGGAACCAGGATGATGATGGCACAAAGCAATGAGGCACACTCAAGGGTTTGCTTTGGGTGAAGGGTGAGGATGACGACACAAAACACTGAGGCACATGGTGCAGGATGATGATGAGGGCACAAAACACTGAGGCACATGGTGCAGGATGATGATGAGGGCACAAAACACTGAGGCACATTCAAGGGGTTTGCTTTGGATGAAGGATGAGGATGATGATGGTACTAAACACTGAAGGTACACTCATTGGGTGAAGAATGGGCGGCACCAAGGCACACTGAGGCACATTCAAGGGTTTTGCTTTGGGTAAAGGATGAGGATGATGATGATGGCACTAAACTGAGGAACATTCAAGAGTTTGCTGGGTTGTTGTAGTTTTTGGGGGCTATATGGCCTGTTCTAGAGGCATTCTCTCCTGACATTTCGCCTGTATCTATGGCAGGCATCCTCAGAGGTTGTGAGGACATAGGTTGTGCTTGTCATAGATGCAGGCGAAACGTCAGGAGAGAATGCCTCCAGAACATGGCCATATAGCCCGAAAAAACCTACAACTCAGTGATTCCAGCCAAGGATTTACTTTGGGTGAAGGGTGAGGATGATGATGAGGGCACAAAGCACTGAGGCACATGTTGGAGGATGATGATGAGGGCACAAGACACTGAGGCACATTAAGGGGCTTGTTTTGGCTGAAGGATGAGGATGATGACGAGGGCACAAAGCACTGAGGCACATTAACGGGTTTGTTTTGGCTAGCTGTGGTTGAATCTGTATTTCGAGGGTCAGTGTAGATGGGGGTCCTTCTCTGGCTGGTGTTGAGAGAGAGAGGGAAAGGGAAGTCTGCGAAGCTGCAACTGAGTGGCGTTGTTGCGCCGGCAGTGCGAGCGGCGGCAGGGGCTCCCTCTCCGCCTCGTCCCTCGCGCGCCCCAGCGAGTCGAGAGCCGAGAACGCGGCGGCGGCGGCAGCGGCGAAAATGCCCAGGAAGGTTCCTCCGCCTTGGCCGGAGAGCTTGGGCTTCCCGTCCGGCCTGATGGGGGCTGGTCTCGGCGCCGCAGCTTGAGCGCCCTCTCGCCCGGGGCTCTGCTCTTGGGCCACCTGCCCGGCCATGCCGAGCTCCGGCCATGCTCCGCGCTTGCTTTGCAAACGCTCGGGATGCCTCGGGAGGCTGCAGCAAGGGAGCCCGAGCTGCTCTCTCCTCTCTCCGCTTGGGCTGCCTCTCCTTCTTCCGCGGCGGCTCCCTCGCCACCAGCAACAGCAGCAGCAGCAACAGCAGCAGCAGCTTTGAAAGAGCCAGAGCAGCAACCTGCGCCAAGGAAGGAGCGGGAGAGCCCGCAATGCCTTGGCCTCCGTCCTCCTTTCCCCCCCACCGCCTGCCGCCTCGCTTGAAGCAGGGCCGCTAGACACAACACCGCCACGCAGGAGGGGGAAAAGTAAAGGAGAGAGAGAGAGGAGAGGAGAGGGGAGAGAGAGAGAGAGAGAGGGAGAGAGAGAGAAAAGCCCAGGAAGATGGCGCCCACCAAGCCAAGCTTCCAGCAGGATCCTTCCAGGCGAGAACGGTAACACTTTCTCTTTCGCGGCGGAAGGAAAGAAGGAAGGAAGGCAGGAGGAACGGGACGCCGCCGCCGGAGTGGGCGCTCGGGGTCTTTGGTGGTTTGGCTTCAGTGCCGAGAAAAGGGGAGAGAGAGGGGGGGAAGGAGGGAGGGGAGAAAGGGGAAAGCAGGCGAAAACGAGGGCTCAGGCTGTCCCCGCCGCCTCGAGAGGTTTCTCCGGAAAGAGCCGAAGCTGGGCAAGTGGGTACCGTGGGTGGGAGGGTGTCTGCCTGCCTGCCTGCCTGGGCTGGAGCAGCTTCGCTCCCACCCGCGGCACCCACTTGCCCAGCTTAACAGCAGCAGCAGCAGCAGCACCTCCCCACGTTACGGGCAGAAAGGGGCGGGAGAAAGCGGTGGAATGAGGCGGAATTCCCGCGAGGCAACTTTTCGGCTCCACCAAACACGGAGGGGGAGGGTCGTGGGCTTTGTCGGCGTGGGAAGCGAGCCCGGGACCGGGTTGTGCGTGTCTTTGCGTGTGTTGGTCGGCCAGGAGCCGTTCTCCAGGCCTCGTGGAATGGCCGGCTTGGGTTGGTGCAACTAGGCCAAAAAACTCCCGAGGAGGGACTTGTGGGGGGAGAGAGGGTCCTTCGTTCTCGTCAAGTTCGGTTCTGCTTCCCCTTCCTCTGCTTCCCGCCTCTTTTGGGCTCGGAGGTCTGAGCTTGGAGACGACTTCCAAGCAAGGGGCGGTTCTGAAAAGTTATTTATTGCCCTCAGCAGAGAGATGCTGCCGGGAGATGAAGAGGCAGCGGGAGCCCGGGCTGGCATTTGGTCCTCAACTCTCTCCCGCCATGCCTACTTTTACTTTCTTTCCCAGACTCTGAAGTAAGCCTCTCGCTGAAGTAAGGGACACTTGTGGAAGGGTCACTGGAAATAGACAGGGAGCAAAGGAAGGACAGGGACTGGGCTATGACAAGTAGCCTCAGAAAAATCAGCTGCAGCCTTTCTGCTGGAGATGTTACTTTGAATGTTACACACAAGCTGACACCCTTCACCTGTGGGTCCTGCTCTGAGGGCCCTTCCATACACTGCCATATATCCCAGAATATCAAAGCAGAAAATCCCACAGTATCTGCTTTGAACTGGGTTATTTTAGGCCCCTTCCACACAGCTGAATAAAATCCCACATTTCCTGCTTTGAACTGGAATATATGGCTGTGTGGACTCAGATAACCCAGGGCTCTTCCACAGCCCTATATCCCAGAATATCAAGGCAGAAAATCCCACAACATCTGCTTTGAACTGGGTTATCTTAGGCCCCTTCCACACAGCTGAATAAAACCCCATATTTCCTGCTTTCAACCGGAATATATAGCAGTGTGGACTCAGATAACTCAGGGCCCTTCTACAGCCCTATATCCCAGAATATCAAGGTAGAAAATCCCACAACATCTGCTTTGAATTAGGTTATCTGAGTCCATACTCAGATAATGTGGGATTTTCTGTCTTGATATTCTAGGTTATAGGGCTGTGTGGAAGGACCCTTAGTTCAAAGCAGATATTGTGGGATTTTCTGCTTTGATAGTCTGGGTTAAATGGTTGTGTGGAAGGGCCCTGAGTCCACACTGCCATATATCCCAGTTCAAAGGAGAAAATGTGGGATTTTATTTAGCTGTGTGGAAGGGGCCTGAGAAAGCTACTTTCTGGTTCATTAAACACCAGTCTTCCTAGAAAGGGAGTTTGTTTCAAATTCTGAGACAGAGTAAGTCCTGCAGGAAAAGCAGGAAGGCAGAGTAGAGTAAGCAAACATTTCAAGAAGGAAGGCATAAAGAATTGGGAATGGCAGGAGAAGCTTTTATTAGGAATTGGTGGCACCCATCCTTGCAAGGACAGGCAGCTCCTACAATCTCTCCTATAAGCAACACATATTGCAAAGTTTAAAAGTTCACCCCATTTGTTTCCAAAAGACCACTTCAATGCCATCTGAACATCATAGGCCTAAGATTAAGAGTACAAGACCCTTTTACTTTTGCTAGTGCAGCCAGCTCTGCTGAGTGGCTCAGAGGTACATCACAGCTATGATATTATATGACGTGATACGAAAACTATTTTCTCAGCAGCTTCTCAATACTGTCCATATAATGCGATTCCCTATGCTGCATGCCAATTTCTTGGAGTAATGTGAATAACTCCAGTTGTTACTTTATGCTGGTGATAATGAAACATTTTGTTTTTAAATAGATTTCAGTCAGGACATCAAAGAAAAGAATAATAGAAACCTGTTGTGAACAAATAGCTATCCAGGGTGTAATCTGTGTATCAGATGAAATGAAAAGTTTGGTTTTGAGTTGATTTTCTAAAGAGGTTTAAATCCATATAATTTGCTTTTGTTTGTGCTGTACTTTGTGTTTTGTTTATATGGGAAAGTCTTGCATTTTACACCACTAGCTGCATTTTGATGTGTTACTGGTGGAAATGCATAATATTGATGTGATTTCAGGAAGCATAGGTTTAACATTCCTTTACTTCTCATTTAGCTATGAACATTCAGTGTTTTCCCTCTAGTGATTGTAAAAACACTTATTAGAAAAATACCATGTTTCCAGCAGCATCCCGCTTTCCTGCACATTTAGGGTGGGGGAAAGCAATACATAAATAGCAGTATGTGTTCCTTTCCCCAGCTGAACCAGAGAGTTCTTTTTTCTTCTTTATGAGCCTGGTACTATATTGGTAATAAGTGTATTTACTGGGACAGCTTCAGTAATCTCTCTAGCAGAGGCATATTTGTGTGCCATTTTTGGAATTTTTCTGAGATAGGAATCTGAAAGATAGAATTAATTTCTAGGGGAAACTTCATAGCTGTGCATGAGTGCTTTCTTTATCACCTGTCTCCATTTGGCATTCGAAGAAGGTAAATCAAAGTATGCGATTTGTTATTCCGCTCCACTTGAGAGCTGTACTAAATAACACTTGGTCTGAAATTCTGATTGAAGTTGTAGGAGGATATACTGTATTTAATTTAATGCCCTTTAATAGCATATTCTTGTTCAGCTCTGATGCTGTCATCTTAAAGGTTGGATCAGAGTAATTTTATCCTGTAGGGAGTGGAATGAGTAATAATTTTGGAGAGGGGAAAAGAAGCCTAAATTCATGAAACACCAATAACCAAAGCTTGGCCTAGTGTCCAGCTAAATGATTGTTTTATGCCCTGCAGCTAAGCCTGTTGCTACTGTGTGTGAAACTCCAACCATTTTATGATTAAATGGCACATGAAATGTTTTGTGGGAGCTCAGTTTAAGACATATCATGTCAGATTATTGTTTCTTAACACAAATGCCTAGAAGAATGGAATTGTGATTAAATATGTGATTCATTTTTTCACCCTTAACACAGTTCATACTTAAGTCTTTAACACAGCAGCTCAAGTCTACTTTCATGGTTTCTATTTATTTATTTCTTGTTAAATATTAGAATTATTGTATACAATGCTAAATGGATTGTGTGGAGTTCTACTGAATGTAGCAAGACTTACATCTGAGCAAATGTGTGGAGGTTGGATTGTGCATACCTCCAAAATAAGTAGGACTGCTTGCACAAGTGCTACTAAAACTTCATTTCAGTACTTACTCTGAAAATGAATAGGACATTAGTAAGCATGGCTGCTACACATTAACAATTAAGACATTGTGTAAAAATCACACGTAAAACCATCATAAATATCAATGTAGCGAGTGTGCTAGAGATTTTCATTTATTTTCTAACTTTAGTTTATAGATAATTATTCAAAAAGAGTTTACTGGAGTTCAACTTGGTGCATTTTTGTTGACAGTGTTACAAGGTAGCAAGTTCTTAAAATTGTCTCTGTTTTGTCATTGCTTCCAAGGAAATAAAGGATGTAATTCTGTATATCCTTTAACCAGGAGTATGTACAGAGTTTTGAGCAGACATGCAGAGGATTTAACTTTAAATTAGATCAAGCCTAATGCTGTGATATGCCAGAGTTATTCATAATTCACAACCCTGTGTTACTGTTGTGAAGTGTAAAAAAGGTGCCTTCATTTTTTTATGTATTTCTTCCTACAGTATATGCTTAAACACAGCAGTGATAAATGATGATATGCATTGTCTAACACTTGCTTTTATATAAATAGCTCCAGAAGATTGCTTAAATGATAATCGAAAATATGAAATAGGGTGGCCTTCATATCACAAGGCCAAGGGTCTACAAATGGAAAAACTGAAATAATGAAATATTTCCAAGGCAACAGACTGTCAACAAGAACAGTAATGCATGGGCATATCATAGAGGTACCAGAGAGGATATTAGATCTTATAGCTCTAGACCTAGGAGTTATAACGACCTTTATTAAATAGAGCCTTCCACATTACCACAATATTTCAGATTCTAGATTTATGGATTAGTATAGTTGTTGTTTACATTTTGAAAAATTCTCTTCCTGTATTATTCATACTGATTGGAACCATACATTATGTCATGTTTCTATGAGGGCATTGATCAATACAGTAAGCATTTTAAACAGCTAATGAGTTCGTATATTTTTAAAAAATGTCTGTTCCTTTCCACAGCCCAAGGTACTGTAACATAAAATTGCAGCTACATAGTATGTCTTGGCTAAAGCAATGAAAAACAAGTGTCTGGATTTAATCTGGGTTGCCACAATAATTCTAGTAGTTAACAGCTATTCCCGTGAGCAAGTTGCTTTCCAGATCTCGCACTAGCAGTATTGAAAGGTATTTTTGTGTCAAATAGTAACAAAGTTGATATATTTCTTATATGCATTTTCTTCTAAGGATACTCTAGTCTTGTGTTTACTCTTCAGAAATCTGTTGTTTTGCCTTGCTTCTAAATTATAAAGCTGAGTCATTTTAGGCCCCTTCCACAGAGCTGAATAAAAACCCACATTTTCCGTTTTGAAGTAGAATATATGACAGTGTGGACTCACATAACTCAGTTCAAAGCAGATATTGTGGTATTTCTGCCTTTATGTTCTGGGTTATAGGGCTGTGCA